TATATATATATATTTTTTTTTTTTCACATAGCAACATACTGTTTTGTGGATTGATGTATACCTGCTGCTACTACTACACCTGAATTTCCCCGCGCGGGACAATAAAGGCTGTTTCTATTCTATTCTATTCTATTCTATTCTATTCTATTCATCTTTAAAAGTGAAAGGCTTCCATTCAACACGGCGTAGGAGATGTTCAATACCTACATATGGATCATGTTGATGTGTGCAGCAGTCACATGCAGTATGTTAAATGGATGTAGAACTGGACCAGCGCTACTTTAAAGATCAATATATTGCTGCATGACTGACAGCTGATCAATTTTGTGAATCCAGATAAACTTGTATGCAGTGGCTTTTTGTTTCTCTAGCTGGCTATTTGATCAATAAACTGCTTTAAAAGAGCCTCAGAAATCCTGGAGATCTACTGATCTACAGTTTAAAGATAACAAGAAAGCCTGGCTTCTTGGAAGCAAAACCTAAAAACATTAGGAAGGATTAAAACTTTTGCACCAGACTGCATATTTTTATGTGTTTTCTAAAGCATTATAAAAACCCAAACACTGAGCACTCACCTATCAATGATCCATTTAGAAAGAGCGCCACTCCTATCAGTGTTCCAATGCAGAGAGCCAGGATGAACGGCCTCCTCCTGCCCCAGCGCAGAGTGCAGCGGTCGCTGGCCGAGCCAATCAGGGGGGTGAAGATGAGGCCAAGAACCGGACTGAGGAACCAGGTCAAACTGTAGTACTGCTCTGGAAGACCTGCACACGTCAGATCGGCACAAATCCWTTGAACTTGAGCAAAGATTTGGGCATGATGCAAAGAAAAAGTTTGTTTTTATGTTTTAACCAGCAGGGGGCAGAAGAAGCATTAAGTAGAAGCAACCTTGAGAAGAAATACGTATTAAAAAAGAAATACTTAAAAAATGAGATTTAAAACAAAGATATGATCCTAATAGTACTTCTTATTGTAGCATTTATGCTTTACAAGTGTTAGTTTCTGATTAAATAAACAACAACAAAAACTGTGTTTATGCCTGTTCAGGGTCTTATGACGGTAAAAAAAAAAAAAAGATTTATCTCAGACCCACTGAGTGTTGGTGTGAATATTTGTCCTATTAAGTTCTGTGTACCGCTCTGTGGTGAACTGAGCTGACATTCAGTCATCAGAAACAATGTAATCCAATGGCCATATAGTACCTTTTATCAAACAAATAAACTAGAGTATTGCTATTAATTTCCAAAATGTTTCAGCCAGATACTGCTTTAATAGAAAGCTAAACATGAAAATATAAGAATAATTTCTGTTTTAAAACTGACTGGAATTTCAATGAGTTTTGGATTGGGTGGCACGTCTCAGCTTTGAGCAGCWTTTTAATATTTTATGTGACCTAACTTTCCACTGCTGCTGAAGCTTCCAGACTGTTGCATAGCAGGATCTCAAACCCAGAAAAAAAATAAACAAACTTTGGCTTAAAAGGGAAACAGTAAATGTCAAATAAACGGAAAGGTACACATGCTGTCAATACCTTTAAATAATATGAGACAACAAACACTTTCCTGTCACCAGCCAAGTTATTTCTTACTCCTCAACATTTATTAACAATTTGGTTTATTTTAACACATGAACATAATGATAAATTGAAAAATATATTTAATAAGTTTTAATTGAAACAAMGAGTAATTGGTGTATGAGCATGTTTGCATGTGATCAACTGGAAATGTTTTATAAAATCTTATTTTTGAGGTTAATATGACCCCCCGGAAATAAATACTTTACGTGCAACAACATTTGAGAGAAAATAAATTAATCTTTATGTTTAACTTCCCTTCTTGTCTGCTCACTCTGAGATCTTACATGTTACGTGTTCCACCTAAAAGAAAGCAGAGCTGCAGAGTTTGTTTATCAGCCGAAACACAGAGCTGAAACTCTCAAAACACCCCAGTTTGATCCTTGAAACCATTTTTCTGATGATTAAATGTTTGGTTTATAACAAACACAGCTATTAATATCAAAAGAGAGCTGCCCTGAGAGAGAAGCATAACCTTATTAAGCTGATGACAGGTGAGAGAGGTAAACAGCTTCAACTGAGTGGTCAGCTGAATCAAAWCTAATTAAATCCAACATTTATTGTTTTATCTGAACAACAACCCGACACATCTTAGTGAAAATGCATTAAATGCCATTTGGCCACCTCTTTGCTCTTCCTGTAAATAGACACCGAAGTGATTCGCTCTAATGTATCTGCCTGCAGCCTGAGRGAAGGCCAGCCTGACCCGACTCAAATATAATCAGCTCTGCTTTAAAGGTTTGAGAAATAAGCTTCATTACAAAGCTTTAAACACCTTCAAACAAGATGATGCATCTAAAATCTCTATTCTTTTCAAAAAGTAAAGGTTTAAGAAGCTGTTTGACAACTTCTGATTTCTGACACTTGAGAATCACTTAAAGGGATCTCTGATTAGTTGTAACATTAGACTTTATTTGATAAACATGTATTTTAACTGTAAAATAAAGACTGTAAAAATAGGCTGTTTAGTTTAGTATTTTTTAAAATATATTTTAACATGGACGGAGCCATTTTATTTACACATAAAGCATTCTGGATAAATGATGACGTGGACAAGTCCTCGGTGCAAGGCTGCTAGCGAGCTATATCCACCCTGAAGGTTAATCTTGGACAATATTTGATGATCGACTMTTTTAAATGAAACCAGAGAGCGTTGACAGAGAGGGGAAGGTAGAAATGACTCAKCCTGTAACTGAAAATATGGATGGAGGACAACAGAGCTGCTTCATGGAAGAAGAACCTCAGTTTAGCCTGTTAGCCTTTGCGCTAGCGCTGACACTATGCTGCCATATATGTATTAGCTCAGCGCTAGCGCGACAAACAAAGCTAAACTGAGGTGAGTCATTTTTGCGTTCCCCTCTCTGTCATGTGGATGGAGGACTTCAGTGACGAGAGGAGAATGTGTAGCGCTGAGCTAATACATATATATGGTGATAGCGGCGGGGCTAATGCTAAAGCTAACAGGCTAAGCTGGGGTTCTTCTTCCATGAAGCAGCTCTGTTGTCCTCCATCCATATTTTCAGTTCCAGGCTGAGTCATTTCTACCTTCTCCTCTCTGTCAACGCTCTGTGGTTTCATTTAAAAGAGTCGATCATCAGATATTGTCCAAGATTAACCTTCAGGGTGGATATAGCTCGCTAGCAGCCTCGCACCGATGACCTAGTTGATGTCATCATTTACCCAGAATGCTTTGCGTGTAAAAAAAAATGGCCCCGTCCGTGTAATATATTTTTAAACTTTTAGTTTAAAAATGATAAAAACTAAACAGCTTACAGTATTTTTTACAGACTTTATTTTACAGTTAAAATACATGTTTATTAAATAAAGTCTAATGTTACAACTAATCATGGATCCCTTTAAAGCAGCAGGTGTTTGGGGGTTTAGAAAGTCCTGCATTAACACCTTTCTGAAACATTCTGGTTTTTTGCTTTGCAACATTTTTAAAGATGAGCATACGATTTTTAGGAGGGACTAATTTTACTACAGCTGGTGTGAGTTGGATGAGGCACATTAAACCCACAGGGGAGCTGTGATGAATAGTCAGATTCACACTGGAGGGTCACGTTTTTGGCCATTTGAGATAGAAAAAGGCCATGTTCCTATTGTCCAGTACAAATGTCGACCTCTGGCTTTCTCTCGAGACTGGACTTAACCCCCTTGTCRCTGTGGTGACAAGGTCTTGGGAACTCTGTCACCACAGAGACTCCATCACCTTCACTTCCTGGCTCCCAATATGGACGTGTCATTCACAACGTGCTTTACGCCGAGGGGGCTTTTTTTTTTTTTTACAGACTGTGTATTTTCACCCTTCTCTCGACCCGTTCTTTCACATTTACACACTCCGGGAAAACACGCACACACTTCCACAGAAAGGGAACTCAGACTAAACCTGTGTGGCGCTGCCATAAATACGAGACAAGGCAGCAGATAGGAATCGGTCCGTCTGTAGGTTTGTCAACATCAAAACAGGAAAACCTTTCTGGTAAACAGTTCCCACGCACAATACCCAAAAACACAGACAAAATGCAGTAAATAAAAGACATGTCTCTGTTCTCAGACACTTCTAAAAACACAGTTCACACACACTCCAGGTACTGTATGTGCAAACACACACACACACACACACACACATATATATATATAAATATATTTACACACAGGGAACAATACTGAGAGAATCAGAACACAGGAAGTATTTTGGAAAGAAAATAAAGGAATGAGAGCAGTAAGAGAGAGGAAATATGAAAAGAAAGGGTGTGAGAAAGGATCAAGATGAAAAAATTTGAAAAAGGGAGAAGAAATGAGTTGGAGAAAGAGCAGACTGAAAGAAATACATTGTCAAACTGCTGAGTGATCCTGGGAACAAAAAGAAATCTGTCTTATCCGTTATCAAAGTAGTTGTTGCATTATGTACATTTCCTCCTCACAAACCAAAAAATAACAATAATGATAATGGAGCTCAATGTGTGACTGTGGGAAAACAACATTTCTATTCATCGCAGCATCTGAGCATCTTTCTGTAATTTTCTCCATGTTGCTTCTGCTCTAAAGAACAGACAAAACATGCCCAACTTTACAGATTACTTTGTTGTCTAATCTTGAACTTGGGGCTAAAGTATTCTTTTCTTTAGAACAAAAAGGAAGTCAGATTACAATGTCAATGTAATCAATGTCAATGTACAACCGATAATTCCCGAGTTTCACTAAAATCCATGAAATGGTTTATGAGATATTTTGCTAACAAACAAACAGGGCTGACTCCTATAGTTAATGCTATCCTTTGATGTTGCACAATGTAATCTGTCCAATCCAATTCCTTTTTACAACTTACAAAAATACATTAAACCTCAGTCTCCTTTTCTCCTTTTTCCTCACTCTTTCCTTCCTGCCCATTCTCCTACAAACAAAACAACCCTTTCATATCCTGCACTCGTGTGAGAAAACGGCGAGGAAAATGACAGGCATCCCGAAAAGAGCCAGAGAAATGGTGTGAAAGTGAGATTAGGGCAGAGGTCATGAAGGGAGAAAGTGGGCAGGAAGGAAGGAGGCGAAAGCAGGAGGATGAGACGCGGCGAGCGYAAGGAAAGGAAAGGAGGAAGCAGGTGTTTTTGAAGCAAACATGTGGACTGAGTCAGGTGCAGAATTCAAAAAGAAAAGAAGAAAGGATCAGAAAGAAGGGGTCAAAACAGACGCAATGAAATATTGTTATCAACGCTTTGTTATTCAGAGGTGTGTGACCAGTTTGGATTGATGTTGATAATTTGTGGGATTATTTGTCACAAAAAGCAACGAGCCACTTTCTGTGGAGGCAGAAGACTATCTGACAGAGACAGAACATCTGGTGGACTCAGCTGATCAGCAGCAGGATTATTTTAGTGGTCACAGTGGACAGACTCAGTGCAACAACTCAGACATTGTTCAGATGAGAGGGAAAAAAGCGACAACGTAAACAACTCAAAAGAAAGTGATGRGTTGTAAAAACCAACTGTTCGTATTAAAAACCGACTCGTAAGCAGCTTTAGGACACCAAGAGATTTTCTTAAGGTTGCCCACCATCCTTAAGAGCAGTGGGGACTCGAGTCACTAATATAATGACTTTAGACGTGACTTGAAAAAATGTTCAGAGACTTGTGACTTGACTGACTTTTACACCAATGACTCGGGATTTGAATCTGTTTACCTAAAAAGAGG